CAGGGGGGTGACCTCTACAACATATGTCAAGCTCAAGGTCATTGCAGCTTGCTCCCCTAAAATGCATAATTACTATATACATTTTTTTTATTGGCATACATGGACAGCATTTTTTATGGAATTTTATTCTATATAAAGAAGCCATAGAACCATAGAAGGAGGAGGGCATACTAGGTGGCGGCGGGACGCCGTGCGTTCGAGATCTGCGTATCTTTTTCGTTCCAGAAAGAGAAAAATATCGAGAGCGCGGTCTTGCTAGGCCGGGACTCGAACCCGGGTCTTTCGCTTGCCGGGCGACTGCTCTAAACCACTGAGCTACCTGACGCTCCACGCTCACGACACTCTCCTCTTCCTAGATAACGCTCAGAGATGCCGTTCGGAAGCGACATCTCTGGCGCGATCCCGAGCGCACGGCGACTACAGAGAGAAACAATGTTACTGTAACAAATGGTACAGCTGTCAGTCTCTCAAAGTCAAAGGTTGCTATCCTAAGGGAGAAGGCGACACGAACTCCGGAACTCGTTCGAAAAGCACAAGACCTCATGTCAAAAGACCCAAGGATTTCACTCGCAAAATTAGCGGTCGTTTTGAGGGTGAGCGACACCGTTCATCGGATCGTTCAAGACGCCCTCAGATACAAATCTTACGTCTTCAAGGTCCGACAGATGTTCTCTGAGGTCGTCAAGGCCAAGAGACTTGCCCACTGCAACTTGCTCGTGTGTTCACTGAAGCACACAGCTGCTGGCCGCATCAGATTTTTCTCTGACGAGAAAATCTTCACCATAGATACCAAGGTGAATCGAAGGAATGACCGTTGGCTCGCCTATGATCTCGAGGACATCCCCGTGGTGGCATCCAACGAGAACATAGACGTCGATTCGACGTCTAACCGACGTCGGAGAAGTCTAAGTTACGTCTAGTCTAAATGTACGTCTAGAAAAATGGCAATTTAGATGTCTTCTATTTTGAGTAAATTCTAATGTTTTAGAATCTATTCATAATTCTATTCATAATATATTGACCATTAAAAGAGAAACTTCGATAAAATTTCGGAATTTTATTTTGTCGATTATTTACAATCTCTCTAGACGTCTATTCGATATTGAATCGACGTCTAATATCTCAGTCGGAAATGATTTATTGATCGACGTCGAAAAGACGTCGAATCGACGTCTATTTGACGATTTCGACGTCGATTCGACATCGATCAATAAGTCATTTCTCACTGGGATCGCGCGCGTTTTGCATAAAAAATTTATTCTAAGTAGAAACATCAGTTTTTTTTAGATTTCCGATTCAATTATAGTATTACAAAGATAGGAATGTCAGATTACTCGAAAAACTGGAAGGAATGATCAAAGTCATTTTGCAAATAACTACATAAACTTTAGAGATATTAAATAAAATAGATAGGCGAATCAACGCGTGTATTTGCTAGGTACGTTATAATATACTGTGAACACTGTAAGTATACATTTTATAAGCATAAATTGTAAGAACATCATTGCAGTCATTGGAATACCGCGTGCCGCTCGATCGTCAGGTTAAGCAACGCAGTTAGGATGGATGGATGACCACTTCGAATTCGAAATTTTCGAGGCAGGATTCGCGAAAGTTTTAGCGTGTGTTTGACAATCTTCGGTTTCTAGCAGTTTATAAGACAAAGAAAATTAGGAATTAGTTATTTTTATTAAACAATCTAGTGAGAAATGATTTATTGATTGACGTCGAAAAAACGTCGAATCGACGTCAAAATGATGGTCTATTAGACATCGATAAGATGTCGAAATGACGGTCTATTAGACATTTAAATATGGACCGTTTTTAGGTCGATATAGATCTTAATCTAGATTAGACGTAGATGGTAGATAGACGTTTCATATAGACGTCTAGTAGACGTCGAATCGACGTAACCTTTCTCGCTGGGCAGGACCAAGTTTCCGGCCAGTGTCCACGTCGTAAGCGTCTCGAGTGAGGGCGACGTCATGCTACCGCATTTCTTCAAGAAGGGGGAAATGGTCACGAAGGAAGTTGTATGTGGAGATCCTGAGGACTGCAGTGAAGCCTTGAATGGAGGACGTAGCTGCAGGAAGGTCGTATATCTTCTAATAAGACGGCGCACCTGCTCATATAAGTCATTTAGTGCAAAACTGGCTCTCGGACAATGTCAAAATGTTTTGGTCGAAGGATTTCTGGCCTCCGAATAGTCCCGACTTGAACTTTCTCGACTACTACGCGCACGCGTAGTCGAGAGGATTACTAACAAAACCAGATACTCCAACGTGGCCTCCCTCCATGTCGCTATTGAAACGGCATTCACGAAAATGGACCGGGCGCAATTATAAACAGCGTGCTCGCGCTTTCGGAATAAGGTCGAGGCGGTGATCAAGGTTACATTGAGTGAAAAAACTCAGAAAAGATCCCTTAACTTAACTATAAAATAATTTCTTTGTACTTTTACATATTTTCTGTAATAAACGACATTTTCGAGAAAAAATTGTCATGTCCGGATTTAAGTGGTGGACCTTGTATATCCAAAATCTTTTTGCCGCTCGAACTGCTCTTCGGTACCAGACTCTCCATACAATAAATTAAAACTTTCGTCGCTATTTTGGGTGTAACCTCCTAAACAACAAGTAAGCAGTTCATCTTTGCTCAATTCGCGCCACGGTGCCCTCCAATATGCTTAGCGATGCTGTATCATACCTTACAATGTTCGCTCTAACTTCGTTAAAAAATATTTTTTCGTTATAAATCGAATTGCAATTTATTTTTACGAAAATAAAGTACCGTTTAAACAAAAAAATGTTTTCAATTTTTTGGAAATTTTACCGTAGCCATACTTCTTGACGCGGTCAGGACATGGGTGGGTAACCGGTATTACCGTTTGGGATCGAAATTATCGAGGAAGGATTCGCGAAAGTTTGGAACGTGTTGTTAACAATCTTTAGTTCTTAGCGATTTATGAGACATGAGAAAATTAAAAATTACAAATATATTTTTATAATATTATGATTTTCTCATTTTTCATCTTTGCACAATAATTCTCAATATTTGATTACTATCAATATTTAACAGTAATTTTATTATCAGTATTTACTAGAAATACTGGCCAAAAAATTACTAAATTACTGAATTGGTAGTACTTAATCATTAATAACCGATTGTACTGCCAATGCTGGGGAAGTATTAGCTAACAACGGTTGGGCCAGTACCATTTGCCAGTACTGGGCCGAAGTTATCATTCCATAGTATTCCCATTGGTGGGCCAGGCATAGTCGTCATTACTGCGCTAGATGATCTGGCAACCAATCTTGGACCATTATTAGGTCAATAGTAAAATCCTATATGGGAAAAGGAAGATAGAAGGCGTAGCTCGAGAATCGGCCGAAATGGATAACTAATTCCGAGCTCTGGTCTAGAAGGTTGTACATGAAAAGTTACGAAGTTTCAAGACGAAATTCTAATTGCCATATTTACACAGTCTGTAAATAAAAATGTTTTTGAGCGCCGTTAGGGTGCGTTTTCACTTAGCGCATCACGCGTCGCGTTGTCCTTCGCGGACCAATCAAATCATCCCATTTTATTCGTCGTAAAGTTAGGCAATACAATAGGACGATTTGATTGGTCCGCGACGG